GTTGCTGCGGTACCTGGGCACATGATTAATGAGCGCTTGAGCTCGGTACTGAGGAAACAGGTAGGATTTGAATTCCTCATTAGCTGTGATTCCAGGCCAGCTCTCCTCAGTTGGGGTGCCTGGTTATGGAAAGAAGTGAAAGTATTTTAGTATGTGTCCTACAGTGAGATAATTAGACCACAATCTAGCCTTAGATGGTGCACCCACGGCCCACCCACAGTCCGCTCACTGACCACCTAATACATGTTGCATAAAAATGATATTTTGTTTATCTGGCACACTCTTTTGGCTGGCTTTGCATAGCTTGCGCACAGGTTGTCATGTTTGCAAGCTGTTTGCTGGAGCGAGCTCTTTGTTGAACATGAAATCACTTAATTTGCTGTATTTACACCTGGTATTGATATGCATTCGGGTCTGCACATATACATGAGATATTATTATTACACATATTATTTAGATGTGTCTTGAGATTTAACCATGTTTTATCTAACTTTTTCATGACTGCTCAGTGTGTTAAACGATGATTGGACTATGATTTCAGGTGTAATCTGTGTGTTTATTACAGTGAAGTATGAATAACTTGTTTTGGTGGGCTTTCTCACAACATGTCTCATAATTGGTTACAAGTTCAGTCAGTAGATGGAAAATAGGTTGATGTATTGATGTATTTAATATGTATATATATATATATATATATATATATATATATATATATATATATATATATATATATATATATAATTTTTTTTTCCCTGGTCTGTTGAAATTCTTGATTCTGATTGGCTGGAGGGTGTGCATTATTTTCGTTGAAATGCACAGATAGTTCCAGTCGATTTTAATAACAGTTCAAAATAAATGCGCTTCTCCTAAACGTTTATAATTACCATATCTAGTATGTGCTGCACAGGAAACCAATGAGGACTGTTAATAGCAGACAGGAATCCGCAAAATTAGGAAAATACTCAATTATGCCACAAAATCAAGTTTTAAGAGTTTTTCGAGCGAGACTATAGTTATTTTAAAGTTAAATCGGTAGTTTGTGTAAGGATAGCATGTTTAAAAATGTTGGACGCTCCAGGCGGTCAGCGGCAGCTCAGTTTTCTCTCGTCAGTCTAGAGATTGTTTTTACAAAAGTTTTGTGTATCATCAAGATGTTTTCTTGCAAAGCTGAGATTAGTGTTCTTTTTGTTAAGCAGTGGCTTTCATCTTGGAGGCAAGCAAACCCAGTCTCTTATGGTCATGAACACTCACCTAAACTGAAACAAGTGAGGCCTGCATTTTGTGACCTTTTGCATGAGTTGTTGCGCTCTTGGGGTTATTTTTCAGACAGGGCCATGTACTTTTCTATTTTGTTTTCCCTTATTAATGAAAACCTTCATTTTAAAGTGGCATGATTTTGCTTGCATGAGAAATCAGTAAGAGGGCAAACACTTATTCACACCACAGACATAGTTAATGCCAATGGTTTGCTAATAGCGAGAACTGAATATTAAAATAAAAGTGTGACCATTTCTCCTACCCATGAGCCGAAATATCAGGTGTAGTTCCTCTTTGACAGTCGATCCAGGAAACATGGGTCGCCCCGTCGCCATTTCATACAGGATACACCCCACACCCCTGTAAACACAGACACAGCCATCATTTATTTATTTATTTATCTATTTATTTATTTATTTATTTTTGTGAAAGATTATTTTTATTGCAATTTTTGTTCAGTACAGGGAAAATTCAACAGGATTATATTGTAAACATTCCCTCAACCGAAATAGGTGGCCTTTTTCTATAATTACAGAAAACAAAATGCTTCAGCTAAAAAGAAAAACATAAATAATAATAAATCTAATCATGACAATTATTTTAAAATGAATAAATCATAAGATGGATAAAAATGTGAAAATAAACAGAAAAACTGTACCTTAAGGAAGAAACAACACATCCATCACCTATGATTAGACCTATCCAGATAATCAATAATTCAATAAAACAGGATCATGAACATGCAAATTATTGATATCATGGGCAATTCAGAATACTGTGAATACTTAATATTATTTAAACCTTTAGTGTCTGTAACAATATACATATTTTTGTATTAGTGGTTGTTCATAACAGCACCAAATGCTTAAAGACTCAATAGGTGATTTATATTCAGACATTAGCATTTTATCATGTTAATCTGGCCTACGAAATTATGACTTTTGAATTTTTAAATGGATTATTAGGCATTAACTATAAGAAATTATCTTCACATAACATCAATAAATGTTTTTAAATTGTTAAATAAATTGATGTTAACACATGTTTACTGCTTACTGTTCAGAGTTACCCAACCTAATAATAAAGCCTAATAATAATCACAAAATGTTTTATTTCGTAGGCCAGATTAACATGTTTAAATGCTAAAGTCATAATTGTTATTCTTAAATGGAGTTAATAAGTAATAAAATTCAGTTGTATTTATCGAATTAACTCATCTGGACTCATTACTATGATATGGCTTTTTCTCACGGTGGATCTCAATGCAATAACTAATGATTACTAATGAGGCTTTATTGTAAAGTGTCACTTTATCATCCTTTTGCAATTTAATTAGTTTAATTTTAAGTTAAAGAACTTTATTAATTCCGCCAGGGTCAATTAAAGTAGGGCTGTCACATCATTACGCAAAAAACAATGTGAAAAACAATATTAAATAACACATCCCAGCATGCTTCATGATAACTTGTTAAAATAATACAAAATTGATGTATAATGATACAAAAATCAGAGGTGTGAACCTACACTGATCTCACAATTCGGATATGATTATCATGCCATCGATTCAGTTCAATTTGATATCTCGGTGCATCACGGTGCATTGACAGTGCTTTCCATAAACAGTTTTATATTTACACTTTTATTTTAAAATGTATAAATATATTTATAAACTATTTGTAAAACAATTTTTGTCCTTTAATACAAACAGTAAGATATATAAACTGTACCTTTAAAAACTCAAGTACATGCACAGAACAACATAAGCTTTTATAGCAGATAAACAAATATAAATATCCCGCTTGCTTTTTGTGCCCTGCCTAGCGAGTTCTTTCTTAAACCCCTATGACTGGTCACATGCTCAACAGAAAGGGCTGCTATTGGCTCTAACACTCTGGCGCTGTTCACCGATGAGTAACATTGATAAACGGCAGCGGCGATTACAGCTGATCCATGACAGACTCGGAGGAGAAAACATGCTCTGCAGACAAGCTCGTGTCAGTATCTAGAAGTATTGGTGGAATAGCTGAGAGGAGAGGAGAATTTTACCTCACGAAAACAAGTCAAAGGTCCACAGAGAGAGATGGAGTTTACTTTCAGTTTCTCCATAATAGTGAAACAGGGGCTTCTGCTGTAAGTGTCAGTAAAAGACTGTCCAGCAAACACACACACAGTTAATTGTGCACAGTTTCTGTGTTTTTAGGTAGTTGGAGTGTTTTAAACACTCACACTCCCCTCCCTTGCCATATTGAGCTACTGCAATATAGCGCATATGACATAAATAATGTCACTACACAATAACCGGTTGGTTATAATTATTACTGAACGAATACCGAATTGTCCTCGTCTGCATCGCGGTGCACCGATCAAACAATTAATTTTGACACCCTTAACAAACATTTAATAATACTGCTAAAAAACACAACATACAAAAATATTCCGTATTGCTAAAAATTTAATTGAATGCTTTTGAAAAATATTTATTTACTCTAAAAGTGCATTCATAATAAAGCAAAACACTAAGTACACTAATACCTGTTAAAGTAGTGCTGCAGTTGGGCCATACTGGAAAAATCTGACATTGCAATATTTCGTTTTCCTGCGATTATATATTGCAATATGAATATCATTTCACAGATCTGAGAATTTACTGCAGTTTGAGAAGAGCTGAGTCACTCTATTTGAAAATATTTAATCTGTTTAAGTTGGGAGGATCTAGTCTTTTTCTATGCAGTGCATGTGCATAATTACAAAAACTTACAAGCAAATATAAATACAACATAGCGGAGATAAAAAATTAAATAAACAATCTGTTTTTGGGTTTCTGCGGAGTCTAATAGTGTTCAGGGACAGAAATTGAATAACCCAACACAAAAAACATGGCTATCATTCTATAAACAATTTAAAGAATAATCATATAAGAATAATTATATCTTAATATAATTAATTTATGTAGCACTTTTCTGGACACTCAAAGCGCTTTAGACATTTTTGGGATGACTTGATGGCAGATTATTACGTCAGATAGCACACCAGCTGATTGGTGGAGAGGGAGGAGACTGAGTGATGAAGCCAATTATGATATGGGGAGGGTTAGGAGGCCATAATGGACAGAGGCCATTGGGCAAATGCCGGCGTTAAACCCCTACCCTTTTTCGAAGAACATCCTGCTATTTTTAATGACCACAGAGAGTTGGGAGCTCGGTTTAGCATCTCATCCAAAAGACAGTCCCATTAATATACTGGGGTTGAGCACCCCCTGCTGGTCTCACTAACACCACTTCCGGCAACAACCTAGCTATCCCATGTGGTCTCCCATCCAGGTATTGACAAGGCGCAGCCCTGCTTAGCTTCATTGTGAGAGTTGCAGAGAGCAAGCTGCCAGCTAAATATTTGATAATGAACCTAATCCTGCGATTGACTATTGCGGAAACGCACATTGTGATATCCATGCTTAAATTATATTGTGCACTGCTATGTTAAACTAATCTTTTTTTGCTGCTATATCACAAAAATACCTTATATCGTTATGAAAGTCTCAGCAATTAATCTCAACAAGAAAATATGATACCAGCAGCATCTTACTAATCTTAAATCTTAATTTCTGTGCTGTTCTTCTATACGCTAAAGCTTTGAAACGAAGCAAGCAGACCTGATTTGAATATATATCAGATCAGGGCTGTCACAGATGTTTTAGATATGGCGTCTCCTGTCACAGTTTGACGTGTGCTCGACTGGAGGGGAGTTTCAGGAAAGCTGGGAGCTGGAGATACGGGAAAGACACATGTGGCTGCTGTCACGCTCCGATTGATTAGCCCACTGGACTAATCCTAAGGATTAAACACAACGGCGTTTTTTTTTTTTATCGAACAGGGCGGCTTAGCTTTAAAAAAAAGCAAGCCGCCGAGTCCGTGTCAGCTATCCAAGGTTGCCCGAGGAGCGCGGGTGACGTTAAAAGGTTGTGTCAGGAAAGACAGAATTCAATTTTCTAACTTAATGTTTCTTCTGGAGGACTGAGCAACAGTCAAGAGCTCTTTGGCATGATCAAAAGGCAGTTTGATGTATTAGTTCATAAAGTTCATAAATGGGATTTTCGTTTTATTCCCCATAATGCCCCCAAAAGCAAAAGGTTAGGTGAACCCATTCATTTAGAGCCTTTGACGTGACGTGATGAATTAATGGAGTGAAATGTAATGTGCTTGAGAGCTGTAAAAGCTAAAAATGTTCAGTCAAATGAAGATTTCTCATTATAAATATTTAGAGATATATTGAGAATATTAGGTATGTCCTGATCTAATCACGTGATCGGAAATTGGGCCCGATCACGCGGATTCAGACTTCGAAACATTACCTCCTGATCAGGACTTGAATATAAATGAATGGATATATACACACACACACACACACACACACACACACACACACACACACATACATATATATATATATATATATATATATATATATATATATATATATATATATATATATATATAAGTTACATACATATATATACAAGTAGAGACTATATTGAGGTAATATTTATATTAAGATTTTTGTGCTTTAATTGGACAATTTTATCCGTTTAGAATACAGAGATTTACCAAACTGATTTAATGTCAGTCATGTGTAACTAACAAATAAGAATAACATACTATTAAGAAGGAGATTTATACAATAGTTATAATTCTGTGATTTCTTTATCACCATTAAACCTAATGTAAACTAATTTCATACATTTAATCTAATATAATTTTTTTTTTTTTTTTTACGGATGTAACGGTTTTAAATAATTCATCGCAAGAAATACATTTAATTATGGAAATTTGAGTCTGATAAAAAAATAATTCAAACGAAGAGATATAAATAATATCACTATCTATTATGGAGATCTATCTATAAATAATAATAAACTGATTCCTGATTTAGTTGTTAAATAAATGAATAAATAAATAAATAAATAAATAAAAAATTTAATTAAATTAAATCACACAATTTCTCTTATTTAAATTGCTCAATTTCTCACAATTTATGTTAACAAATTAAAAATTTTTACCCATTAAGTGCAGATGTTTTCATAATGAGCATATTTATGCTTCTTAGTAAAACAACAATACATTTTACTCAAATCTAATCTGTGCAAATGCTTCAATAATGCATTGTTAAACAAATTTAACAAATGTGGCTGATTTAAAAAAAAAAAACATTATTCCACATACATAACATTTTACGTCACAATTCATGGTTCTACTGCTTATTACCTTCCTTTTTTTAAAATATTAACACTTTATAAGTAATTCTGAGTGTCCCTCACACAGTGGGCTTGACAAACCACCTGTAGAAAACACACTCTTTTATCTCTCTGACTCTTTAACCAACACTTGCACCAGTTTTGCACATTTGCATCAGACACTTTCTCAAAGTCACTCCATATGTCTTTAAAAACCAAAACAAAAACATTGTGCATTTATAAAGTGTGCTTCACACAGGTGAGTGGGCTTAACAAACCACCTGTAGAAACACTTTTCTCTCTATATATACAGTTATAGTCAGAATTTTTAGCCCCCCTTTGAATTTTTTAAATGTTACATCCCAAATGATGTTTAACAGAGCAAGGAAACTTTTGCAGTATGTCTGATAAGTCTTATTTGTTTTATGTTGGATAAAATAAAAAAAATTAAAACACAATTTTAAGGTCAAAATTATTAGCCCCTTATTTTTTCAAACCATTGTTATACAATAACTTGCCTAATTACCCTAACCTGGCTAGTTAACCTAATTAATCTAGTTAAGCCTTTAAATGTCACTTTAAGCTGTATAGAAGTGTCTTGAAAAATATCTAGTCAAATATTATTTACTGTCATCATGGCAAAGATCAAATAAATCAGTTATCTTTTACATTTCCTAATCCCTCCCAATACCTAATTAATAACAGTTAATAGTTTAGCAAGCTAAAAGTCTTAAAGTTAATAGTTTGTTAATTGTGTGAATTGTAACTCAACGTATCCCCAATGTTTTTGTGTCTAATTATAATTTTAAAACATTAATTTACATGGATAAAATCCGACTTTTAAATCTGGCTCATGCAAAATGCCTAAATATGCTTTAGTTTTTTTTTTAAATATCATATTAAGGGCCTATATTTGACCCTCTTTTATAGTCTTAGCATTGCATATTCACATGTATTGAGTTTCATGCTTTCATAACATAGTAACATACACACTGTGACCAGCGCCATACTGTAGCACCATTATGTTCAGTGTTTTCCAGCCAAGGATTATGGGAGAATCTTCTTACCACATGTCTATGGGTGTGGAGTATTCAGTGGATCCCAGCAGAACATCAGGGGGTCGATACCACAAGGTCACCACCTCGTTCGAATAGGTTTTTGTCGGGACCGATTTCGCTCTGGCCAAACCTTAACAAGCAAAGATAACACAGCTAGATTACAGCGATGAACAAACGTTGCCGGGTAACCCAGAATCAGAGCCAAGAGCTGAACTAAAATGGGGAGTCACATGGGAAAGCGCTGCTGGGTAATGCGCTAAAAAAACAAGCCAGATAGTCTTTGTACGGCACACCAAAGTAAACGCATCTGTGAATATTCAGGGGAAAAAAGCCTCACCAAAGTCTGCCAGCTTGAGTTCTCCCTTGTCATTAATGAGCAGATTCTGAGGCTTCAGGTCCCGGTGGAGAATCTTCCTCTTATGACAATATGATAAACCGCGAAGGAGCTGGAACATAAATATCTACAAGGACCGAGAGGCGGATGTTAGTGCTTTCTGAAACTTGAACTAGCAACAAAGACAGCATTTTATTGCATCCAAAATGTAGGCAGCTGCTATGTGTGATGTCTGTTTTTTTAAGGCAACATCGTATGTATCCATTGCAGATCCCTGAATGCATGCAAAAAAAAAAAAAAAAATGTTTTGATGATTAAAAACAGATTCAACTGTATTTTTAACTCGGCAGGGTTCTTGTTGTTGGATAAACTAAAAGCGTAAAGCTAAAATCACTGTTGTTTTATGAATATTAACAAGTACTGGTGGTTATACACTGTAAAAAGGCTGGGCTCCACACCATTCCTTCATGCTGTACCAACACAAATGTATTAAGTCAACTAAATAAATTTTACAAATTTAAGTGATCGAAGATAAAGCAATTAAGGGTGCTTTCACATCTTCGGTTCATTTGGTCCGGACCAAGGGCAATACATGATACACTGTCGCGTTTTCTACCGTCTTTGGGTCCTTTTCACACCACACTGATTGCTTTGGCCTGAACCAGTTGAAAAGAACCAAAATGCAGTCATGTGACGAAATTCACATTGCTTATTGGCAAGATGTTATTGAACGTATTTCCTGAACTGCTTAACGATTGGTCAGAATTAACATTCGGGAAAATGCCAATGAACTCCCTCAAGTAAACAAACGGCGAGACAAAAATTTTGCTTTTTACTATGGAGGTACGACTGCGCTGGCTGATTGTATCCCTGCTCATAGTATACATACATACAGTATATGTAGTTTGTATACATCACTTTAGACAAACTATACATTTCGAGGCCTGCGACATGGTCATCTTCCAGAAATATTACCAACGCTATTATACTGTATATTACCGCTCCAGGGTTCATTTAAAAGCATTCCGTGACCATCTCTTCAATGAAGTCTCTGTATGCTTTTCTGGTCTGCTTTTGGTGCGAACTCGAGTACGATTGCTACATTCACACCTGCCCAAACAAACTGCACCAAAAAAGAAAATCAACTCTAGTGCGGTTCAACCAAACTAAATAAGGCAGGTGTGAAAGCACCCTAAGTTGTCCAAAAATGCTCAAGAATTGTTGTTTCAGCTCATCTTAAATAATTAGTTTTAACAAGCAGCAAAAGTATTTTTTTAGTGAAGACCAAGTGAATTCATGGTTTCTTTGCATTTATTGAGTTTATCACACTATAAAAAAATGCTTGGTTGTTGTAACCCAATAGTGGGTCAAATATTGACAAACCAAACCATTGGGTTAAAAAGTATCATTTGAATTCAATTGGAAAAAAATATAACTATCATTTTTTTACTCAAAAATTATTTTTGTTGCTTGTTCAAACTACTTACTGTACGTAAAATGAACTGAAACAAAACAATTATTAAGGTATTTTACTCTAAAAATGTATTTGCTTACTGTTGCATGTTTTCAACCCAGGCTCATTCTATAAAAAATGTAGCCCTGTATATATTTCTGGTGAGTGCCAAACACCTCCCAGGAGCTACGTTATTTTTTTTATTTATTTTTTTTGCAGACTTGCAGTCTTGCAGTTTTGTTTTCATGAATCCTCTAGAAGTATTTTTTTTGCTCCAAGTGCGCACCAGTAATATATTTTTCTAACGCTATTTTTTAAATGTGGCTTAAATAGCCTAATTTAACTAAGGCTTAGTCCTAGCTTAATCTAAGCCCTGTTTGTGAAACTGGGCCTTAATGTCCTAAATTTCAAAAAACTAATTTAGGCCTTAGAAAGTCTTAAATCCACTGAATTATTGTGTTGTAGGTCTTCAATCATTTTAAATGGGTCCTAATATTCCTTTGTCCATGTGAAGCTATACCCAATTGTGCCAAACACCCTTCCAATCACTAACAATATATTTCAATGAAAGTTTTAAGAAACGTTTATTTAATAACTCTATTTACTTATTAATATGGTTTAATTATAGCCCTTACAATAACATTTGTTTTTAATGTTATTTTAAGGTTTTAACTTGGCCATTAAAAAAATATTTGTCATTTAGCCTTGGAATTTCATTCATCATGGCCTTAAAATGGTCTTAAAAAGGTCTTAAAAAGTCTTGAATTTGACTTGATAAAATCTGTAGAAACCCTGCTTAGATGAAATCAGCTGAAATATGATAGACTGAATGTCTCAAAATCTAAGCAGAGGATCATTAAGCAACACCACAAACAGCAGCTTTACTTATTATCAATCTGTTTGCTCTTATTTGAAGAGTGACCAAATACTCTCTGAACGGAGTAAATGATACTCAGGATTTTGCTGTTTATATAGATAATGTTTGCACTTTTTGCACTTAGCTCAGCATTAAATTTCTGTACGATTTGATAAAGTGACATGCAAAAAGCAATTAGCTTTCCCCCCCAGTTTAAATTCCCAATTATCATAAAACATATGGGCTATTTCCAAGTCATTAGATGCTTTTAATCAGTGTTTAAAATGTCATCCAGAGATCTATACCTAATTCATATGTCATTTTCTTTAATAAATTGACTTATTAGTCATTTAAACAAACTAATTAGTCAATTATGAGTTCTCAATACTCTAATTTCTTTCCCCGTGTCTGCTAAATGAGATCTCATTAGTATCTCAGTTGCTTCTCTGGAAAGCCCCGCCCACTGGAATCTCATTGGTGCAAAATCCTGCAGACCATAATTGTTAATTTAAACGCAGTCTTATGATTGGCTGTGATTGGATCTTGCTGTCGAGTAGCGTTGTGTTCATAATCGATTAACAAATTGCTTGTCACTGAAAACGTGTTGTTATTTTAGCATCATGTCAACATGTCACACTCAATCGGAATCAATTGTGAGTCACGTCTCTCTTGTGCTATCCTACATTAGGATGCTGTCTTAGAAGGTAGCTGCTGTGTAGATAGGGCTTGGAAAAACAGCACAGTGTTTGTTACCTTAACGTTGTGCATGCTCATTAGGTTTCCACAGTTGTCGAGGTACTGCTTCAAGTCACTGTCCTGCAAAAAAACAGTTTTACATCATAACCATATTTAAAATAAATTGGTCAAGTCACATTTGTATGTAATCCTGTGCAATATGAAGATATTCAGACTTCATGCTAGAGATGCAGTTAAAACTTATTAAAAGTGATGAGTTTTTTTCATCACCTTTTTTTTATCCAGGATTGATTACTATAATGCATTAGTTGCTGGGGATTCTAAAACCACCTTTAAAGGATGGTTCACCCAAAAATGAAAATGTAATCATTATTTTTAAAATGTTCATCTTCTACTGTGTAAAGTGATTTGAGATGTACTTTTAAAAGGAATTTAGAAAAGAAAGTAATACTAATAGAAATGCTAATCTTACAATTCACAATTTAGTCACAATCTTTTAACAAAATTATTTGAGACAAATTTAAAGGGCCATGAACCCTCAGTCTGAAAAATGTATGTATGTATGTATGTATGTATGTATGTATGTGTTTATGTATGTATGTATGTATGTATGTATGTATGTATGTATGTATGTGTGTACGTATGTATGTATGCATGTGTGTATGTATTTATGTATGTATGTATGCATGTATGTATGTATGTTTGTATGTATGTATGTATGTATGTATGTATGTATGTATGTATGTATGTATGTATGTTTGTATGTATGTATGTATGTATGTTTGTATGTATGTATGTATGTATGCATGTGTGAATGTATGTATGCATGTATGTATGTATGCATGTATGCATGTGTGTATATATATATATATATATATATATATATATATATATATATATATATATATATATACAGAGATGCAGACAGAAACATGAATAACAACATCGTGAGAGAACGTGTACATTTTGCATTTTATTATTTTTTTTATCATTAGTTTTTGATAAGTGTTTTATTAATATTTTCATTTTATATTTTTACATTTTAATCAAACATTCGCCCTAAAGTTCTAAATAAAGTGAGAAATATTATAAATAAATAGTTTATAAATAAATAGTACATAAAAAGTACATTTTTGAGTATAAACAGTATTTTAAAATGTAAAAAAAAAACAATATTTTACATGTGGTCAATATTTAAACTACTACTTGATTGCATTTAAATAAAAGGTATTGTATTGTGATATATGTATGTTATCTGAATAAGAGATGACTTACAGTGCTCACCATAATTAAGTGCACCCCATTTTGAAGATGATTTTTTTATCCGTTTCTTAGTGTATTTTGGTGCATTTAAACAAAACAGATTTATTAAGCAGATATATTTATTAAAATAATATTTTAGTCACCAAACATATTTAGAAATTGAAAGATAATACAATTAAATTCAAGCAAAATACTGCTAAAATAAATTACAACCTGAACCTACAAAATTTCAACTAAAATTTTCATTTTTTCTATTTTTAATTTTTTCTTTTCTTGATTTTTTTTTCTCTTTTAAATTTGTATTTAATATTTTTCTAAAACATATAAATGTGGGTGTACTAGTTTTTGGACCGTTATCATAAGTTATCTTGTTAGATAAGCTCCAGATTTGGCTTCAGTACTGACTAATCTAATGTATATGCACAAATATAATATTGTATAGTTTCCTATTAAAAATATGAGTTTAAAAGATATGTATTTTTATTATATATTTGTCATATCGCCCAGCACTAGTTGTATAGTTGCTTGCATAATTGATAAAGTGGAAAATACTTTAAATTCCACTCCACCCAGTGTAACAAAGCATCTTGGGATGGACAGGTTGGCATAAGATCTCAGTTAAAGCCTGCTACTGTTTTCATAGCATTGAGAAGAAAAGCATGGCTTACCAGGTACTCAAATACAAGAGTGAGGCATCGGTCCGTGTGGATGATGTCATGCAGCGTTACGATGTTGGCGTGTTTCAGGTTCTTCAGGAGTGACACTGTCATAAAAAAACAAAAGTACAACAATGAGGCACCATTACAATAGCCTCCGGCAGGGTTGTGCAACATTCAGAATTGATTTAAGATTGGTAATTCAGTTCCTGCATTTATGTGCGGATGCAGAGATGTCATTCAGATTAGAAAAGATGATTGTTTTTTTATTTTTATTTTTTATAATTCATAGATAAACATGCATTTATTAAACATGAATTGTGCTTATTCGAATTTTATGTTTGTTATTTTTAATAAATACATGTGCTTTCACATGTATACGACCCTTGTTCTAGAAACTTCCTGGCAAGTGTGTTGATGCAAGTCTGAGAAAAACTATGCAGCACGCTTGGACTGAGTTTGGACACAAGTGTTTTAAAGAGATAGTATGGAAGCCCATTCCCGCCATTGATTAAAAAAATTAAAATAAATAAATAAAAACAATGTTAAAAAAAATAAAAATAAAATATATATATATATATAAGTCAGAATTGTGAGTTATAAAGTCTTTTTTTTTATATATTTATAACTCAGAATTAGGATATAATAACCCACAATTCTGACTCTATAACTCAGAATTCTGACTTTATAATTTATTATTATTTTTTTAATTAATTTTTATTTTAATTTAATTTTCTTTTTTTTTTTTTTTTATCATTCAGTGGTGGGAACGGACTTCTATAGGATAGTCCATCCCCAAAATAAAATTCTGTCATCATTTACTTGATTTAATTATTGGGTGCATTATCCCTTTAAGAAAGTTTTAATGTAATGATATAGAATCTTGTAAATAGAAAATAATTAAATCTTTTCTTTAAAACTGAAAGAATGGACACTTTCTGAAGTCTTGTGCATTTCTCCTGAGGACAAAAACTTTTGTAAAACACACACACACACACACACACACACACACACACACACACACACACACACACACACACACACACACACACACACACACACACACACACACACACACACACAAAATCTGAAGTCTCAGAGCTGTAAAAGAGATTTCCCAACCCTGACCTCCAGCAACACATTTTGTAACGCAGTGCATCATGGTATATTATTCCGTCTAGCATCTGTTCTATGTGTCGGTCAGCCACTGGATGGCAGTGTTGCTTTACTCCAGCATCTTCCATTAGTAACCCCGCTCACGTACTCATTCTCATTTAGATGGAGTGATTCAGACTGGGTGAAGAAGATGCCCGTGGCTCGCTAGTTTAGTATGTATACTCTTCGTGACAATTTGGGTTTTGAACAACCAGGAAGCTTAGAACCATAGTAGTGCGTGTTTGTGCGCGTGTATGTGTGTGTGTGCGTGTGTCTTTGTGTACATGTTTTGATTTACGTGGACAGATATTTGTGTAATGACATAGATATTGCCTAGAAATTACAATGTTAAATACATTTTCCTTGGCGTTTTGACATTAAAACTTTATAAGGGTTAATCTTGGGGTTAGGGTAAGGCAATATAATAAGCAATTTTTTTTTTTTTTTTTACATTTTAAAGTGCATTATGCCTATGGTGAGTTCTTAAACCAACCAAAACCAACTTTTTTGTATTGTGTGTGTGTTTAAAATGTATGAGGGTTAGGTTTAGAATAAGGGTAAGGCAATATAATAAGCAGTTTTATTTTACAGTATAAAATACATAACACCTATTGTAAGTCCTTTTAAACCAACCAAAACCAACGTGTGTGTGTGTGTGTTTTCATAATTGATGCGGGTTAGGTTTAGGGTAAGGGTAATGCAATATAATAAGCATGTCCAAACTCGGTCCTGGAGGGCCGGTGTCCAGGAGAGTTTAGCTCCAACCCTAATCAAACACACCTGAACAGCTAATCAAGCACTTACTAGATATACTAGAAACTTCCTGGCAGGTGTGTTGAAGCAAGTTTGAGATAAACTTTCCAGGACACCAGCCCTCCAGACTGAGCTTGGACACCCCTGTTTTTAACCAACCAAAAGCAACATGTGTGTTCATAATTGATAGGGTAAAAGTAAGGCAATATAATAAGCAGTTTTATTTCACAGTATAAAATACACAACGGCCATAGTGTGTCCTTTTCAAACCAACCAAAACCAACATGTGTTTGTGTGTGTTCATAACTGATGAGGGTTAGGTTTAGGGTTAGGATGACAACATAATGAGCAGTTTTTTACTAGGGATGGGTATTGTTAAGGTTTTAACGATATTACTACATTTACAGATACCAGCAACAATAATTAAAAAAAAGTTTTTTTTTTAAATCCTGTAAAAGAATAAACAAGGGTTTGAAGGAAAATAATTTTGTATTTAACCTTTTTCTTCTGGAAAAAAAAAAATCATCTTTGCCTTTTCTGACAGAAATCAGGATCTTTCTTGGTTTCTTGTAATCCCTGCAGTTGAAAATACCCTCTTTTAGTTTCAAAATGCAGAAAAATAATCAGTTAATGTTTATGTCACAGTCACATAAATGAGTTAACGTTTTTTCGAGAGTTAACAATGTAAAAATAAGCTGTTTGTTTTATAATTTATTAATTAGAATAGTTTATTATTTGCCTATATTTGTAAATACAGTGTAAATATGTAATTTTTAATCATGTAAATGTTTTAATGTTTAAGATTTATTTAGGCTACTGCAGAAAGAAATACTGTTATTATTGTAACCAAATGTGTGTTTATTACATTATTAATATTAAACTAATTTAGAGAGTGCGATGCGGTGGCACAGTAGGTAGTGCTGTTGCCTCACAGCAAGATGGACGCTGGTTCGAGCCTCAGCTGGGTAAGTTGGCGTTTCTGTGTGGAGTTTGCATGTTCTCCCTGCGTTGGCGTGGGTTTCCTCCGGGTGCTTCGGTTTCCCCCACAGTCCAAAGACATGCGGTACAGGTGAATTGGTTAAGCTAAATTGTCCGTAGTGTATGAGTGTGAATGAGTGTATGGATGTTTTCCAGAGATGGGTTACAGCTGGAAGGGCATCCGCTGCATAAAACACATGCTGGATAAGTTGGTGGTTCATTCCGCTGTGGCGACCCCAGCAAGCTTACGAGCTGTGTGCGCACCCGAATCTGTGTTATGAGCGCGAGCCTCCACTGAGCGCACGTGCACAGCCGAGAACTGTGAAGGTTTTTATACTTGACGTGCTCGCCGTTGTACTATTAGGTGAAAACACGATCATTTCTTATGTGAGTGCCAACTGTGCAGACAAATATCGCACATTAGAAAAGGTTGGTCAGATAATTATGCTACTGTAAGTAATGTTTATTTAGCAATAATTCTCCAGTACCGATAGCAGAACTGTTAACATCAGAGCTTATGGATACTTCAGTCTTTTACAATTTAGCACCGATACCGATAAAGTACAGGGTTTAGTACCTATCCCTAGTTTTTACAGTATAAAATGCATTGCACCTATAGTGAGTCCTCTTAAACCAACCAAAACCAACATGTGTGTGTTCATAATTTATGAGGGTTAGTTTTAGGGTAAAGGTATGGGAAAATGAGTAGTTTTTACAGCATTACACCTATGGTAAGTCATCATAAACCAACCAAAACCCACATGTATGTGTTCAGAGTGTATGAGGGTTGGGTTTAGGGTTAGGCTAAGGCAGTAGTTTTTACAGTTTAAAATGCATTATACCTATGGTGAGTCCTCATAAATCAACCAAAACCAACATGTGTGTGTTTACAAGTGATGAGTGTTAGGGTAAGACAACATAATGAGCAGCTTTTACAGTTTAAATCGCATTACACCTATGGTGGGTCCTCATAAACCAACCAAAACCAACATGTGTGTGTTTACAATTGATGAGTGTTAGGGTAGGGCAATACAATGAGCAGTTGTTACCGTTTAAAATGTATTACGCCTATGGTGGGACCTTATAAACCAATCAAAACAGACATGTGTGTTTGTTCAAATTTTATGAGGTTTGTTTTTAGGGTTAGGGTAAGCCAATATAATTAGCAGTTTTTTTCACTATAAATTGCATTACGTCTATGGTGAGTCCTCATAAACCAACCAAAACCAACTTGTGTGTGTTCAAAATTTATGAGGGTTAGTTTTAGGGTAAGGCAAAATAAGTAGTAGTTTTTACAGTATTACTCATATGGTGAGTCCTCATAAACCAACCAAAACCAACATGTGTGTGAAATAGGATGCTACCTTCCCGTATGGCTGTGCAGGGGGCGCCCTCTTCATGCTCCAGACGAATCTCTTTCAGAGCCACTAGGTTTTCTGTGAGTTTGCTGCGACCCTTGAAAACGGTGGCATATGTGCCCTGAATGACAGACGGGAAGACAAAATATGTCAATCTTCTGGGGAAACAGGAGTGGTGCAGAATAGATTAGCATTTTTTTATTTTTTTATTTATTTATTTTTTTGCTTGAGGAGCCAGATTTTTACTTTGGCATGCCAATAGATCAAAAATGATCGTCTTATTAAAAATATATATGAAAGAAAGAGAGAAAAGCTAAAAAAAAATCTTTTAAATCAAACTTGTCAGTGCCATTGTAACAATATGAGAAATGCTTTGTGTCCAGATGTCTCTTGTATTTTACACACATTGTTTAACTTTGGAGTTTTTCTTTGTGTAGTTTTGTTGAATATTTGATTTAAGAACAAACTTTGAAATATTGTGCAAAATGATTGAATGCATGACCTGCTTATTTTTAAGCAGAGAAAACGCAAGTGTGGCTAGCATTGTGTTTTAATTTAATTTAATTTAATTTAATTTAATTTAATTTAATTTAATTTAATTTAATTTAATTTAATTTAATTTTATTTTATTTTATTTTATTTAATTTAATGTTATTTAATTACAATTTAAATTCTACTTTATTTTAATGTTATTTATTTTAATATTGTATTTTGTTTTATTATTTTATTTTATTTTATTTTAATGCTATTTAATGTAATATTTTTTATTATTATTTTAATTAAATTTAGTTTTATTTCAATGTTATTCAATTTAATATTTTATTGTATTTAATTAATTACATTTATTTTATTTTATTTTAATGTTATGTAATTTAATATTTTATTTTATTTTATTATTTTAATTATATTTTTATTTTATTTTAATATTATTTAATTTATTATTTTGTTTTATTATTTTAATTAAATATTGTTTTATTTTATTTCAATGTTGTTTGTTTTAATATTTTTTCTATTAATTTAATTTATAAAATTTTATTTTAATATTTTTTTAATGTTTTTTTTTCGTTTGTTATTTTATTTTTATTTTATTATTTTGCTAAAATTTTATTTTATTTTAATGTTATTTAATTTAAAATGTAATTTTATTTGATTTTATTTGATCTGGTATTTGATATTTATCTATTTTATTTGAACCAAAAAACAAGTTTTTCATTACACGTATGTAGAGAATAGCTGTGTATGTTTTTCAAGAAATATATTTGCTCCTTGTAAAGCAGAATTTTTAGCACCCTTACCTTATTTTTTATTTAAATGTAGTTTTTAGAATAAAATTAATTAAACATTATAACATCATATTTTTATTAAATAATTATTTAGTATTTTGAAATTATTCTAATAAACCGATTTGCTGCTCAAGAAACTAATTGTTATCAGTGTTGAAAACATTTTGATGTGAACTGATGTAAAGAAATTTTCTTTTGGGGATTCTTTGAATAGAAGGTTCAGAATAACAGCATTTATTATCTGAAATAGAAATATTACCATTATAAATCACATACTATAAATTTAATGTGTTCTTGCTGAATAAAACTGATTTCATTAAAAAAATTATTTCTAGCCCCAAACTTTTGCTATCATTAGCATTGCTCCAAGGTGAGTGTATTCTTAATTATCTTAGTAAATAATAAAAAAAACATTATATTTATTATAATATCACAGATATTTCACTTACAAATAGCAATTTAGAGCCAAATAAAGCTTATATCTCAAAATAAAGAACCAAATCCCATGACTTTCACATTCTGTGACTTTTTAAGACTGTTTGAGTTTACAAGACTTTTCCAGGCCTTGAAATGGAGCGAGTTGAAAGCACCTTTATACATTAATGAACATATTTATGATTGCTGATACAGAGATATGAGAGCCACCGCTTGCAGTTATTTGTTTCTTCACTGAAGAGAGTTCACAGCAGTCTCCGTCCAGTATTTTTCCAATACTTCAGGTTTTTTCTTTCGGTCATTAGATACGGTATTCCTCAGGGTTGTATGTAGAACATTATTTCTCACAATTTGCGATGTGCATGCTTTGTTGCACTTAATGGAAAATTGACGGGCTGGTCGCGCTACAGCTTTGAGCATATTACAGACTGATGTCTCTTCGTGCCAAAAAAAAGCCCATTAAATCAGAATTCACATTCAACACGACTCGTATTCACTGTAATCGCCTGGAGGGAATCTCGTAATGAACACATTCGATTCTTCATTTCGATGGCTGCTGTTTTATGTTCTTAATTTTTGCCTATAGAGTCTCTTTTTGTTTTTTTACTTCACCCAGGGAAGAGAAAACATCTTACCTCTCCTAGTTTGCCCAACTTCACATAAGTCTCCAGTTTCCCAAAGCCAATGTCTGACTGCAAAACAATGAAAAGAACAACTTTTAAATAGTTTTAATTTAAAGGTGAAATTTAACATTTAAAAGTGCAGTTCACACAAAAATAAACATTTCATTACTATTTTCTCATATTCAAGTCGTTCGACAACACATTCTCAATACCGATTTCCTTCATTGTCCTTCATTATTTTAAACGAGAAACCTTTGGCGTCAATTTGCTAATGCACAAAGCATCGGCAGTTTTAGCAATATGATTAAATAAGTGTAATATTTTTGTCATTATTGCACTTATAGAAATAAAGGTACAGAACCTATCACTGGGACAGTAAGCTTATTAAAAAATATAAAATATGAGTAAATATTAATTCCTGAAAAGTACAAACATGTACCTCATAGTAACTTAAAGGAACAAAAGTGTACTCTAAATTATGGATGCACCGATAACATTTTTTGGGATCCGATCCCGATACCAAGATTCTGTGTATTAACCTATACAGATCTAAACCCAATACTTTGCCGTTTTTTTTTTAAAAATTGTTTTAAACATAATACAGTTTCTATAGTTCTGGTGATCAACTCAAATAATATATCTTCTTTAGTAAAAATAACAGCCCTATAGTCCTACTGTATATAACAACCGGCGCAATCTAGCTAAAAACATGATGTTTGCTGTAAACTAGGCTACATTATTTGAGCATTTGTTATGACATTTATCGGTTGTGTCCAGCTTGTGTTTCCTTTTTTAATAATAAAGTCATGTATTCTTAATTAATACATTATGCATAGTCAATAATGTATTAAGCAGTGTGTAAGCGAGGCGCAACTCTGCGCTGGACTTTAGACCGGATTTGTTTTGGTCTATTGAAAAATCTATTATAGTGTCTCAAAATAGCAACGCGCCAGCAGTGCGCCTCAGAACGCCTTGCTTTTTAGACCAGAACGCCTATGGGCGCACATATGAGCGCAAATGCATTTGCTATTTAAACAGCCTCAAAACGACTCTTGCGCCAAGCTGAAACTAGCAAAAAACGATTGCGTCACGCCTAGCGCCACATTGCGCCGGGTGTATGATAGGGCCCCTAGTATTTTAAGTGCCATCCTCAACACCTGCTGTTCGTAATAGTATGCAAGACTTCGCAGAGGAACTCCCAAAATCTTTGAACACAAATTAACGATGCCTTGAAGACTATTCTTGTTTTTGATAGACGGTGAAGAAAACCAGCAAATAAAAGAAAAGACAAAATACTTTCAATGAATGAATTGTAAAAGGTCTCTAGAATAACTTTCTCGACATTAAAAGAGTTGAGTTTCCGCAATAAAAACAGTCTTTGATGAGCCTTATAAACAATTGTATGTGTATTTTGATCAAATTTCAACCTGTTGTCAATAAATGATTTTTACTTTTTTGTGTGAACTATCCCTTTAAGAGATTTAAAGTAGGCCAGAAATATATTCCGATATATATTCCAGTACTACCAGTGCACTGAAAGGATGTACATTCATATCAAGTTTTATATGTGTAAAGCACTTTTTTATAATGGATTTCGTTTTGAAGCTGGAGCAGAATATTTGACCTGAGAGAAATACGTCTCCAGAAGACATTTATGGAAATGTTTTTCTGTGAATAATGCTGTGAATGCACCTTATGTTGTCTTCTATATCAGTGCGTCTTTATGTATTATTTATCAGTACTGAGTGAGACTTTTGCTTCGGTTACTGACCAGCGATGCTCTTCTGGACATGCGGCTCAGAGGTTTGCACGGCGGTGGGCTTTCCATCTGCAACTTCTTCAGAAACTCTGGCGGGAGACGAATATCCATGGGCAGAGACATCCTCTTAGTTACATCCTGCACACACACACACATCAAAGAGCTGTCAACTATTAGCGTTCAGCTAGCACACGTATAAAACACAGCGCGTCAAGGCCAATATGACAGCTTTCTCCACTGCGCAACACAACTCTACGCCTATAGCCGGAGCCCGCTATTCTTACCATGACCAACTCGGCATGACAATGAGAAAAACCTGTCACTTTTTCTGCAGCACTCTATAAAAGATTTCTGGAGTAATCTCAACACGCTGAGGCAGGGCAGGACAAAAATATTACATCTCACCGCGAGCTGAAGTATATCCAGCAATCTTCTCGCATTTAAGAAGCTCTGATGGAGTTAGTTCGTAACTCGATTCACGGCAACGGTTTGCCCAAAAATAGCATCTTATATGTGCTCTGAAAAAAAACTAGAGCGTTCCCTGTGATTCCTCAGCCTTTTGCTGAGACTTTTGTACGGTTCTGCAATAAAACTAGCCGGCGATTCTCAATAAAACCAGGGAATAAAAAAAGTCCCATCATGCCTGTGGGAATAAAATAAAGGTGCATGGTGCAGATAAAAGGTTTGCGAGAGCAGAAAAGAAACCGTCGGATTTGAAAATGGGAGAGGGCATTCAGTCCAATTTTCCCCCCTTCTGGATTCATGGCCGTTGAATAAGGAAGCTGACAGCCGAGGCGCTGAACGCTCCCAATGCCCCGCTCTGTCTTTTTGTGTGCTGGACTAACTTACAGGTAATACTTCCACTCCATTTAATGATGGACTCGATCTTTCTCATGTGCCTCCAAGCGAGGCATTTCTTACACACACACACCATATAGAATCGCATGGATGATTATGGTGGAAGAGAAAGATAGAGGAATATGATCAAGGCAGCTTTCCTCATGTGGTTTCTGATTAGTTTGTGTTTGTCATTCAACAATCCAATTGGCGAGGCTTATTTCAACCCTCTGGGGTCTTATGGTGTCTTGGGAGAATGGAGAAGTGCTGATATGCTCTGACATTTGTCCTTTTTTCAGATGCTTCTAAACATATAAGTTGGTTTAATACCACTGTACACAGCACAAACTGGGCTACAATAATATGTTAACAACGTTTATGTACAAGATTGTGTTTTTAAAAAGGGAACTTTTATGCGTGGTTAGTGAAAAACTACAATTTTGAAGTCACTAAAATAACTCTGAATATTGATCTTGTAGCCTAGAGTTTTTGATTTAAAACGATGTGAAAAGTATGTTATTCTGTTGCTTATATTAATTTTAATTTTCTAAGACACTGAAGAACTGTTTCGTTCATATGCTAGGAGGCATGAACTATTATTACTAATGCAGCGATTCACACCTGAGAAGAAAAAGGCCTAGATGCATAAAGGAGCATGTGACTTAGGGTAGACTGAGGGGGACAACAAGTATAAAACATTTCTGTTTTAGTTTGAGAATATATAGCTATGGCACTAAAAGAGATATATACTGTATATATTAGGGCTGCTCGATTTTGGAAAAAATCGTTTATCTCGATGAATGGTTTTTCATAATCGTAAGAAGCCATAATCGAAATCTAAATCGAATTTTCGATTAATTGCACAGCCCTAATATATATATTGATTTTTTTTTTAACTTTCTTTAACAAATATGTCTCAAATGATGATAAACAGTGCAAGAAATTTTTCACAGTATGTCTGATAATATTTTTTCTTCTGAAGAAAGTCTTACTTGATTTATTTTAAGGTCAAAATGATAAAATGATTAGCCCCTTTATATTTTTGTTTGATAGTCTATTCAGAACAAACCCTTGTTATACAATAACTTGCCTATAATTACCCTAACCTGCCTAGTTAATCTTATTAACTTGAATTTAAACGTCACTTAACTCCGTTAAACAGAAATCGGGGGAAAAAAAATAAACATGGGGGCTAGTAATTCTGACTTTAACTGTCTGTATATCTATAAAAGTATATTGTTTGTCCTAAAAACTTTACATTCTCGCTTTCAAAAGTATTGTGTTAACCCTAGAAATGTTTTGTACCCTAGAAATGTCACGTTACAGTTAACAATACAAACTTTACATTCTCTCTTGCTAAAGAGTTGCTTTAACCCAAGCAATTTTGAATTCTCTAATAAAAAATAAGTCAATTACACAAATTTACATTCTCTTTTAATAGTATGGTATTTGTCCTGGAACCTTTTCCCCCCTCTGGAGACTTTACTGTGCACGCACACATAGAGTTGAAGTAAGAATTTGTAGCCCCCCTGTTTTTTTTTCAACACATTTCTAAACATAATAGTTTTAATAACTCATCTCTAATAACTGATTTATTTTATCTTTGCCATGATGACAGTTGATAATACTTGACTAGATATTTTTCAAGACACTTCTGTACAGCTTAAAGTGACATTTAAAGGCTTAACTAGGTTAATTAGGGTAACTAGGCAGGTTAGGGTAATTAGGCAAGTTATTGTATAACGATGGTTTGTTCTGTAAACTATTGAAAAAAATAGATTAAAGGGGCTAATAATTTTGACCTTTTTTTTTTTTTTTTTTTTTAATAAAGACTGCTTTTATTCCAGCAAGAAAACAATAAAGACTTTCTCCTGAAGAAAAAATATTGTCAGACGTACTGTGAACATTTCCTTGCTCTGTTAAACATCATTTGGAAAAAAAAAATAAAAAAAATTCAAAGGAGGGCTAATAATTCTGACTTTAACTGTATGTACACACACACACACACACACACACACACACACACACACACACACACGCACACACGCACGCACACACACTATATATATATATATATATATATATATATATATATATATATATATATATGTTTAACAATAATATATATATTATTCCTTCCACATATTATTTTCGTTACAAAAGTTTTTTTGCATGCGTGTTTGTCCTAGAAGCGTTATATGCTTTCTTTAAAAAGTACTGTTAACCCTAGACATTTTACATTCTCTCTAAAAAGTACAATGTCACCCATACATCTTTCTACAGCTTTTTACATTTCGTTTTTACTAGTATTGCATTTGTCCTAGAAACATTACATACTCTCTTGCATAAATGTCCCAGTCCCCCTGGAAACTTTACATTTTTGTGCACAAAAACATAGCTTTCCCTTCAGAAACTGTACATTCTGTCTTGCAAAAGTATTGTGTTCCTCTGGGAAACATCATGCTCACTAAAGCACTGAAATATATATATTTTCCTTCCACCTCATATTATTTCCATCACAAAAGTTTCTCGTGGGAAACCAAAAGTTTTGCGAGGGAAAGCAAAAAAAAAGCTTTTGAATTTTTTTGTTTGTGTGTATGTGTGTGTGTGTGTGTGTGTGTGTGTGTGCGCGTGCAATCAGCCAGCAGTCAGAAACTTGCCATTGCTGTAGCTCTTTGTGGTTTTACCTGGTCTCACCTTAAAGAGAAACAAAGTGTTTGATAACGAGGCTTTAGCGCCTCTGGCAAGGACTTTATTCAGGACTCAGATAAGATTACAAGCAGAGCGTGTGTTGTTCTGTTAGGATGACTAGGGCTCCATCAAAGCCTCTGGATAGAGCACTTGGCTGGGCTTTAGCATGGAGAAGGATGAGATGATTAAACACCACTCACCTCCATGGAGAATCGGCGGTGCTGGACTTTGTTGCGGTACTGTAGTTGGGTTGGAGATTGAGCCTGGCTGTCTGGAGCCACTGGACTGGGTTGCAGGCTGTGTAGACCCAGACTGTTGGGCACCACACCTGCAGACACAATCACACCACATACACTTACTTATACTGTATCTGAATTTAAATGCAACAAACAGTTCTCAGTTTATAACTTTGATTCACAATTTGCCTTGCAATATATTTGAAAACAGTAACAAAATGCATATTCATTAGAATGTCATTGACAAACATGTGCCAATTAATTTAAACTACTGTATCATCTAGTAGTTATGCCTACATTTCCAACAAATAATGTGTGTCTCCTCAGCATATACAATATGAGTACACCCCTTAGAAATCTCTTTATAGAATATTTTCTATAGAATGCTTTACAATATTATATTTGTGCATATGCACTCACTGGCCACTTTATTAGGTACACCTGTCCAACTGCTCATTAACATATTTCTAATCAGCCAATCACGTGGTAGCAACTAAATGCATTTAGGCATGTAGACAGTTCAATCCGAGCATTAGAATGGGAAAGAAAAGTGATTTAAGTGACTTTGAATGTGTCATGCTTGTTGGTGTCAGACGGGCTGGTCTGAGTATTTCAGTAACTGCTGATCTACTGGCGTTTTCACACACAACCATCTCTAGGGCTACAGAGAATGGTCCGAAAAAGAGAAAATATCCAGTGAGCGGCAGTTCTGTGGGCGCAAATGCCTTGTTGATGCTAGAGGTCAGAGGAGAATAACCAGACTGAGTTACTGTTGCCTTATTATCAACTCGAACCATATAACCACTTAAAACAACCGGCAGAATGCAGGTGAATGCACAACACATACAACTTTGAGGCGGATGGTCTACTGCAGCAGAAGTCCACACCGAGTGCCGCTCCAGTCAGCTAAGAACAAGAAACTGAGGCTACAATTCAGACAGGCTCACCAAAATTGGAAAACAGAAGGTTGTAAAACTGTTGCCTGGTCTGACGAGTCTCTATTTTTGCTGTGACATTCGGATGGCAGGGTCAGAATTTGGCAACAACAACATTAAAGCATGGATCCATCCTGCCTTGTATCAATGGTTCAGGCTGCTGGTGGTGGTGTAATGGTGTGGGGAATATTTTCTTGGCACACTTTGGGCCCATTAGGGAAAATTGAGCATTGTGTCAGCGCCACAGCCTACCTGAGCACTGTTGCTGACCATGTCCATCCCTTTATGACCACATTGAACCCATCTTCTGATGGCTACTTCCAGCAGGATAACACACCATGTCATAAAGCATGAATCATCTCAAAATCCTTTCTTGAATATGACAATGAGTTCACTGTACTCAAATGGACTCTACAGTCACCAGAACTCAATCCAATAGAGCACCTTTGGGATGAGGTGGACAAATCTGCGGCAGCTGTGATGCTATCATGTTAATATGGACCAAATTCTCTGAGGAAAATTTCTAGTATCTTGTTGAACCTATGCCATGAAGTTCTGAAAGCAAAAGGGGGTCTAACCTTGTACTAGTAAAGTGTACCTTATAAAGTAGCTGGTGAGTGTACATTAGAGTAGGCAGTACTGAAACCAAATCTGGAGATAATCTAACAAAGCAGTTTATGATGGTCTCAAAATTAGTAGCCCAAATATGTTATAAAAAAGTATTAAGTAAATATAAAAAAAAATAGGGAAATTAAGAAATCACAAAATCTTTAAAATTTTCTACTTTGTATATATATATTTGCATACATTTTGCATAAATTTAAATGTATTATCTTTCTATTTCTAAAGATGTTCTGTGACAAAAAATTTATTTTAATAAATAAATCTGTTTAATAAATCTTTTTTGTTCAAATGCACCAAATAGTCCACTGTACTAGAGAGCATTTGATTGGTCAGAAGTCAAAAACTGTTAATAAAAGCTGAATGTAAAAAAAAATATTGTAGATTAATTTTGGCAGAAGTTACAAACCCAAAGCTTTTGACGTTTATATCTTAAATGTGATTTTATAGACCGTTTTGGAACTAAAATATTGATACTAACACCTAGGAAACTCAAATATTGATTTCTCTGGGGCTTTTATTTCACGGCCTTAATATCTTATTTACCATATTGGATATTTCTAAAAAAGTTTTAACTATAATTTAAGCTATAATTTGTAAACTTAATCATATTTTTTAGTTTTAAGTATATGTGCTTACTTTTTTGTCAGTAATTATGTAAGAACGCAATATACTACGTTTAATGTTGTTGTTGTTGTTGTTGGGACTTAAAAAAAATACTTATTTTATGTAGTTTTGCTAGTATTGTCCTGTAAAGAAATACATTTTGGATTTGTAGATAGTTTTGGATTTGTTTCCATAATTTCAAACTGGTTAAACTAGCAACAATAGAATAAAAAAAATCTGCAGCATTTTATAGATGCGCAAAATATGATTATTTTGTCAAAACAGTAAAGATATATATATATATATATATATATATATATATATATATATATAATATTTTTTTGTCTGGCCGTAGTTCAGTAGATGGAGCTGCTAGTCAGAAACCATCTAGTAGTCTCAGTTCATTTAATATTTATAATATAATATTTGACAGTATTCTTGTATCTGACAGCGCTGAGTGATGGCTGAGGAAAAGCACGTTTTGTGAAAGAGTAGAAGCAGCAGGAAAGCTGGATCCACCAAAAAAATAAAAAAATAAAAAAATCTTTGAAGCATAGAGTAAACTTTATTTTTTTCCCCAGCTCTGTTCTGTTTCAGTACTCAAAGCCTGTTGGCCATGTTTTGGTGATCCCGCTGAGCTTTGTTTGGTTGTTGTTTCCATTTCTCCAGAAACTTCAATAGAATCCGTTGCATTCATTAGGTCATACGAGTGGTTTGGAGAGCCTCAACAATCTCTCGACTGCGAATGAGCAATAGACGTCCCACCTCTTCTCTGATTAGCCCGCTAACTCAATAACCGTGAGGTCAGCTTTGGCATATGCTGATGACGGCATCATTAATCAAGCCCACCGCAGTTAGCGGAGCGATCGCAATTATCGCGCCCAGTTTCATGCATTTATGATGTGGCTATCTAAGTGCGTGTCAATCCAGCCACCCCAATTAATAATGTCTGTGTCAACAGACTGTCAGCACAAATCCAATTACGCCCCTATACAGCACGTCCGATAGAGACCCACGACGCCACGGCTGACCCCCTTCGCAGGCGTGCGGCAGATGCCCACGGCAGCCTGGCATTATCACTGCCAAACCGTGTTTTCGGAGGTGAGAACGAAAATCAAAATGGCTTTTCTGCTCCATCAGTTCAATTTGGACGAAGGGGCTTGAAGGGCCTCCGGAGGCGTCGGGGTGGGAGCCCCCGGTCCATTTCACAGCGCCGCGGCCGCATAATTGAGATCCACCTCATTATTGGGCCGAGCCCATCGCTGAATGAGAATTGCCTGCCAGGCTCATCCGTTCTCATTTATGCCGCTCTCATCCTCTCTGGACCGCACAACTCAACTCTTTATCGGAGCCATTTAGGCGGGAACGCCACGAAATGCCACATCTGGCAGAGACGGCCGGTCGATGTGGCTGCATTACCCACGGCTGTCTGAGAAGATCGTAACAGCTGTTTAGCGCAGCCCTGTTATGACCCCCAATATTAGAGCTGGGTTGATTTGATATCGATTAACCTTTCTTTTTTTCTCAACTTTATCTGCCAATAGTTTTGAGCAACACTGGAAAGCACTGGTGACTTGAATGTTAACACAGTTGGGCCAATTCTGGATAGATAGATAGATAGATGGAATTATTTTAGATTATCATGCTACTGTTTTATTAATTGTGACCAATTATGGATGGATGATAAATGGATGGATGGATATAATTATTTTAGATTATTTTGCTGTTTTCTGTCAATTCTGACCATTATGAATGGATGGATGGATGGATGGATGGATGGATGGATGGATGGATGGATGGAATTGTTTTATTATGCTACAGTTTTCTGTCAATTCTGACCAATTATGGATAGATAGATAGATAGATAGATAGATAGATAGATAGATAGATAGATAGATAGATAGATAGATAGATAGATAGATAGATAGATAGATAGATAGATAGATAGATAGATATATAGATGGATGGATGGATGGATGGATGGATGGATGGATAGACAGAATTGTTTTAGATAGTTATGCTACTATTTCCTGTCACTTAATGACAAATTATGGATGGATGGATAAGTAGATATATGGATAGATGGATAGAATTATATGCTACTGTTTTTTGATCAATTCTTGATGGATGGATAGATAGAATTATTTTAGATTATTATGCTAATATTTTCTGTCAATTCTGACCAATTATAGATAGATAGATAGATAGATAGATAGACAGACAGACGGACGGACGGACGGACGGACGGACGGACGGACGGACGGACGGACGGACTGACGGACGGACGGACGGACGGATGGATGAATTGATGGATGGATGGATGGATGGACGGATTGATGGATGGATAGATAGATAGATAGATAGATAGATAGATAGATAGATAGATAGATAGATAGATAGATAGATAGATAGATAGATAGATAGATAGATAGATAGATAGATAGATAGATAGATAGATAGATAGATAGATAGATAGATAGATAGATAGATGGACGGACGGATGGATGAATTGATGGATGGATGGATGGATGGACGGATTGATGGATGGATAGATAGATAGATAGATAGATAGATAGATAGATAGATAGATAGATAGATAGATGATAGATAGATTTTGCGTTTAAATAATTTATGTGTGTTTTATATCTCCCCGAATTGACTGTGTGTGCCTCTAAATCCATAAGATGAGACGAGGAAACTCCTCCCCGCGAGTAAATATCCAATTACTATGCTCTAAAGTTAGGGGGCGCTTGACCATCATTCCACACTTTAACATTGCGAGCGGCGGTGAAGTGAGGCTGAGGCAACAGTAGAAGGAAGCTCAGTCGAAGTGAGGCAACAGTACGAGAAAGCGCCGGCGTCTTTCAAATCTGTGGTGTGAGGACATTTCGCATTTGGTGGTAAGTATAATGCCAATAAAAGAAAAAATG